TATCAGGACCTACAACACACACATCAGGTCTGAGTAAGATATTAGGACCTACAACACACACATCAGGTCTGAGTGAGATATTAGGACCTACAACACACACATCAGGTCTGAGTGAGATATTAGGACCTACAACACACACATCAGGTCTGAGTGAGATATTAGGACCTGCAACACACACATCAGGTCTAAGTAAAATATCAGGACCTACAACACACACATCAGGTCTGAGTGAGATATTAGGACCGACAACACACACATCAGGTCTGAGCGAGATATTAGGACCTACAACACACACATCAGGTCTGAGCGAGATATTAGGACCTACAACACACACATCAGGTCTGAGCGAGATATTAGGACCTACAACACACACATCAGGTCTGAGTGAGATATTAGGACCTATAACACACATATCAGGTCTGAGTGAGATATTAGAACCTGCAACACACATATCAGGTCTGAGTGAGATTTTAGAACCTACAACACACACATCAGGTCTGAGTGAGATATTAGGACCTACAACACACACATCAGGCCTGAGTGAGATATTAGGACCTATAACACACATATCAGGTCTGAGTGAGATATCAGGACCTACAACACACACATCAGGTCTGAGTAAAATATCAGGACCTACAACACACACATCAGGTCTGAGTGATATATCAGGACCTACAACACACACATCAGGTCTGAGTGAGATATTAGGACCTACAACACACACATCAGGTCTGAGTGAGATATTAGGACCTACAACACACACATCAGGTCTGAGTGAGATATTAGCACCTACAACACACACATCAGGTCTGAGTGAGACATTAGGACCGACAACACACACATCAGGTCTGAGTGAGATATTAGGACCGACAACACACACATCAGGTGTGAGTGAGATATTAGGACCTGCAACACACACATCAGGTCTAAGTAAAATATCAGGACCTACAACACACACATCAGGTCTGAGTGAGATATTAGGACCGACAACACACACCTCAGGTCTGAGTGAGATATTAGGACCTACAACACACATATCAGGTCTGAGTGAGATATTAGAACCTACGACACACACATCAGGTCTGAGTGAGATATTAGGACCTGCAACACACACATCAGGTCTAAGTAAAATATCAGGACCTACAACACACACATCAGGCGTGAGTGAGATATTAGGACCTACAACACACACATCAGGTCTGAGTGAGATATCAAGACCTACAACACACACATCAGGTCTGAGTGAGATATTAGGACCTGCAACACACACGTCTGAGTGAGATATTAGAACCTACAACACACACATCAGGTCTGAGTGAGATATTAGGACCTACAACACACACATCAGGTCTGAGCGAGATATTAGGACCTACAACACACACATCAGGCCTGAGTGAGATATTAGGACCTACAACTCACACATCAGGTCTGAGTAAAATATCAGGACCTACAACACACACATCAGGTCTGGGTGAGATATCAGGACCTACAACACACATATCAGGTCTGAGTGAGATATTAGGACCGACAACACACACATCAGGTCTGAGTGAGATATTAGGACCAACAACACACACATCAGGTCTGGGTGAGAAATCAGGACCTACAACACACATATCAGGTCTGAGTGAGATATTAGAACCTGCAACACACATATCAGGTCTGAGTGAGATATTAGAACCTACAACACACACATCAGGTCTGAGTGAGATATTAGGACCTGCAACACACACATCAGGTCTGAGTGAGATATTAGGACCTACAACACACACATCAGGTCTGAGTGAGATATTAGGACCTGCAACACACATATCAGGTCTGAGTGAGATATCAGAACCTACAACACACACATCAGGTCTGAGTGAGATATTAGGACCTGCAACACACATATCAGGTCTGAGTGAGATATTAGAACCTACAACACACATCAGGTCTGAGTGACATATTAGGACCTGCAACACACACATCAGGTCTGAGTGAGATATTAGGACCTACAACACACACATCAGGTCTGAGTGAGATATTAGGACCTGCAACACACATATCAGGTCTGAGTGAGATATTAGGACCTGCAACACACATATCAGGTCTGAGTGAGATATTAGGACCTATAACACACACATATCAGGTCTGAGTGAGATATTAGAACCTACAACACACACATCAGGTCTGAGTGAGATATTAGGACCTACAACACACACATCAGGTCTGGGTGAGATATTAGGACCTACAACACACACATCAGGTCTGAGTGAGATATCAGGATCTACAACACACACATCAGGTCTGAGTGAGATATTAGGACCTACATCCATGGATCTATTATATCATCTGGATAGGGTATTACTAGCATGGAGCTGAAGGACCCATGTGCTCGGGGGATTCTCGCGGTACTGCAGACTAAACCAGACTAAATTTACATGGACTACCCAGACAACTTACAGCTTTCATAACGGTCAGATTTGTGGGGATTTAATGTTTCCTGTCAAAAATCCCTTGACGCTGAAGTTGAAAAAAGGTGAGCTTTTCTGGCTTGACACCGGGCTTCAACCAATGAGGAGACGAGGAGTAGCAGCAGCAGGTCTTTCATGGAAAGAAGTCATGAAGCTGCTGCTTTGCTGTTTTATTGTCATTATTGTGATTATGTGCACTACTATTTGTATGAGTAGCAACGTTCTTAATAAGTAAGTAACAAAATCAATGTACATGTGCTGTAAAGTAAAAGTCATTCAATTAATATAAGAACAAGCTGCCGCTGAGTCTGGCTCAGACACAGCAAACTGATAGACAGGCGCTCCTCCGCAGGAATCCAGTGCCTGTAGTTGGTGTCCGGGCGGGCAATGCGAGCTCCGATGCGGGTGAGCAGGTACTCAAACTGTGCAAGTGACATGCGGAAGTACCGCTGAAGGCGAAATGAAAATACAAATCTTCGCTCACAGGAGCATGTTTGCTGAGCAAGGTCTTTCTGTCGCCACTATTCCCACTTGAGCTTGTTTTTATAGATTCCTCAACAATCATGGTGACTTTTCAAGTTTTAGAGTTGCAGGCTTCCCTATGCATGGATTCAATACTTATGAATCCAGTATAAGTGCCTCTGACCTTATCAGGACTAAATAAAACACTGATTGAAAGTGACCATATAAGGACCTCAGTCACTGACACAACTCAAATATAGTGTAGTCACAATGCGGTTGAAAAAAGAGGACTTAACAACTGATACATGTCTGAGTGAGATATTAGGACCTGCAACACACACATCAGGTCTGAGTGACATATTAGGACCTACAACACACACATCAGGTCTGAGTGAGATATCAGGACCTACAGTAAAACATATGGGTGTTATTTTTGACACCTCACTTTTATATTCGTTTTTGATGTTTTAAATCCTAATTTAAACACGATTTTACTACTGGAGTTAAGGACATTTTTCAATGAGAAAATTTACTGACACAAGGAGAATATGCAAGCTCCACTCCCAAAGACACCTTCTGGCTGGAAGTTTTTCTTTAAAAAAAAAAAAAAAAAAAAAAACACTCACTCACTACTCAAGTTTCTTTTTAAATTAGCTTGAGTCAATATTTTGGCTATTCTACCCACCTCTGGGGATGTATTTAAGCTTGCGACAAAATAGGTGACATATGAGGACAAGTGTGTGTGTGTTAAAAGTGTGTTAAGGTAGTTCCGTGCACGACAAATTTTTTGGGACGGAGTGTTTTGGCCCCGACACACATTTTCACTATTTGTAGACATTTTGGGACATTATTGAATTTTGGTGTGGAGCTTCATCTGGGCCTCTACAACACTGTAGTATGCATGGAAAAATGAGGACCTGAAAAAAGTCCCCATATATCCTCAGGTCCTGATATTGAAGGTGTGTTATCATACAAAAGTCCTCATATGTCCACAAAACAAACGCACACACACTCACATAATTACACACACACATACACACACACACGCACACACACACACATACACACACACACACACGCACATACACACACACACACATGCACATACACACACACAGACACACACACACACACACACACACACACACACAGACACACACTGCTTTAAATGAGTCAGAAGTCTGTGACTCAGAGATAAGGAAGTGTGTGTTAATGGTTCAGCACCATGGACCATGGCAGTGGGGAAGTGCTCATGGTGAAGTTTGTCTCCCACTTCCATGTCAAAGTAAACTGTTCAATGATGTTTGTGTGACATCACATTTTGGTCTTAAATCTGTGTCCTGTGTTTATGTGATGTCTTTGTTAATCTGAAACGGCCATATAAGGACCGACCAATCAGAGGCCTTCATTCAGGGGAAACTCCAGGGTTAGGGTCTGTTGCTAAGACGGTTGCTAACCTGTGTCTGTTACAGCGCTAAGCTAATGTCCGAACAAATGTCCGTCAGCTTCTTTTGCTTCAAGACTAACACTGTGATGTCACACTGTGGTGATGTCACACTGAGGTGATGTCACACTGAGGTGATGTCACACTGTGGTGATGTCACACTGTGGTGATGTCACACTGTGGTGATGTCACACTGTGGTGATGTCACACTGAGGTGATGTCACACTGAGGTGATGTCACACTGTGGTGATGTCACACTGTGATGTCACACTGTGGTGATGTCACACTGTGGTGATGTCACACTGTGGTGTCACACTGTGGTGATGTCACACTGTGGTGATGTCACACTGTGGTGATGTCACACTGTGGTGATGTCACACTGAGGCGATGTCACACTGTGGTGATGTCACACTGTGATGTCACTGTGGTGATGTCACACTGTGATGATGTCACACTGTGGTGATGTCACACTGTGATGATGTCACACTGTAGTGATGTCACACTGTGATGTCACACTGTGATGTCACACTGTGGTGTCACACTGTGGTGATGTCACACTGTGATGTCACACTGTGGTGTCACACTGTGATGTCACACTGTGATGTCACACTGTGATGTCACACTGTGGTTCTGTGCTTCAGTTGGATGCACTGTGTCCTGCTGCAGATGAACTGATGAGGCTGAGCACTGCTCCCCCTGGAGGACACATGGAGGTACTGCAGGCTGCGGCAGAGGTAACACTGTTATTAACACACAAAAGAAAGAGGGACCAGAGAGAGACCAGAGAGGGACCAGAGAGAGACCAGAGAGAGACCAGAGAGAGACCAGAGAGAGACCAGAGAGGGACCAGAGAGGGACCAGAGAGAGACCAGAGAGAGAGACCAGAGAGAGACCAGAGAGGGACCAGAGAGAGACCAGAGAGAGACCAGAGAGAGACCAGAGAGAGACCAGAGAGGGACCAGAGAGACCAGAGAGAGACCAGAGAGGGACCAGAGAGAGACCAGAGAGAAACCAGAGAGAGGGACCAGAGAGAGACCAGAGAGAAACCAGAGAGATCCTGTGCAGTACTGTAACTTGTCACACTTGAATGTCACTTTATCTCTTGATTATCCTGCACTATATGTACAGTATATAACTGCACTACTACATATATATATTTTGACTGGTATTGAAGCATTTCCAGCATCTACAGCTAGTTATGTTAGCTAAGAAACATAGCTACTACTTATTTGTATATATTGTGTGCTCCCTTTGTCTCTTACTACTGTCCTGTCTGTGCGCTGCAACATTGAAATTTCCCCACTGTGGGACGAATAAAGGAACTCTTATCTGTGTGTTACAGTAGGTTGTGTAACAGAAGTGTGTGTGTGTGTGTGTCTTTTCAGTGTGCGTCTCTGGGAGCAGCCTCGACCGCGGACCTCGAGGCCAGAGCGGGGCGAGCGAGCTACATCAGCAGTGAGAGAGTTCACGAGCCAGATCCGGGCGCTGTGGCCGTGGCAACCGTCTTCAGAGCAGTGCTGCAGGCGCTTCAGATGTGACCGAGCCTCCCCCAGCCTCCCCCAGTCTCCCTCAGCCTCCCCCAGTCTCCCTCAGCCTCCCCCAGTCTCCCCCAGCCTCCGCCAGTCTCCCCCAGCCTCCCCCAGTCTCCCCTAGCCTCCCCCAGTCTCCACCAGCCTCCCTCTGTCTCCGCCAGCCTCCCTCAGTCTCCCCTAGCCTCCCCCAATCTCCCTCAGTCTCCCCCAGCCTCCCCTGTCTCACCCAGTCTCCCCCTGTCTCCCCCAGCCTCTCCCAGTCTCCCCCAGCCTCCCCCTGTCTCCCCCAGCCTCTCCCAGTCTCCCCCAGCCTCCTCCTGTCTCCCCCAGCCTCCCCCTGTCTCCCCCAGTCTCCCCCAGCCTCCCCCTGTCTCCCCCAGTCTCCCCTGTCTCCCCCAGTCTCCCCAGCCTCCCCCAGTCTCCCCCAGTCTCCCCCTGTCTCCCCCAGCCTCTCCCAGTCTCCCCCAGCCTCCCCCTGTCTCCCCCAGCCTCTCCCAGTCTCCCCCAGCCTCCCCCTCTCTCCCCCAGCCTCTCCCAGTCTCCCCCAGCCTCCTCCTGTCTCCCCCAGCCTCCCCCAGTCTCCCCCTGTCTCCCCCTGTCTCCGTCAGCCTCTCTCTGTCTCCCCCAGCCTCTCCCAGTCTCCCCCAGCCTCCCCCTGTCTCCCCCAGCCTCTCCCAGTCTCCCCCTGTCTCCCCCTGTCTCCCCCAGCCTCCCCCTGTCTCCCCCTGTCTCCGTCAGCCTCTCCCAGCCTCTCCCCAGTCTCCCCCAGCCTCCCCCTGTCACACACACACTGACCAAAAGTAAAAATATTTAAAAAAAACTCTTCCCTTTGTGTTTTTTTCTCTTATTCAGGATAAAAATGTCCTGCTTTAGTCCTGCTTTAGACCTGCTTCAGTCCTGCTTTAGTCCTGCTTTAGTCCTGCTTTAGTCCTGCTTTAGACCTGCTTTAGACCTGCTTTAGACCTGCTTTAGACCTGCTTCAGTCCTGCTTCAGTCCTGCTTTAGACCTGCTTTAGTCCTGCTTTAGACCTGCTTTAGACCTGCTTTAGTCCTGCTTTAGTCCTGCTTTAGTCCTGCTTTAGTCCTGCTTTAGACCTGCTTTAGACCTGCTTTAGTCCTGCTTTAGTCCTGCTTTAGACCTGCTTTAGTCCTGCTTTAGACCTGCTTTAGACCTGCTTCAGTCCTGCTTTAGTCCTGCTTTAGACCTGCTTTAGTCCTGCTTTAGACCTGCTTTAGACCTGCTTTAGTCCTGCTTTAGTCCTGCTTTAGACCTGCTTTAGTCCTGCTTTAGACCTGCTTTAGACCTGCTTTAGTCCCGCTTTAGTCCCGCTTTAGACCCGCTTTAGTCCTGCTTTAGACCTGCTTTAGACCTGCTTTAGTCCTGCTTTAGTCCTGCTTTAGTCCTGCTTTAGACCTGGTTTAGACCTGCTTTAGTCCTGCTTTAGACCTGCATTAGTCCTGCTTTAGTCCTGCTTTAGTCCTGGTTTAGTCCTGCTTTAGACTTGCTTTAGTCCTGCTTTAGACCTGCTTTAGACCTGCTTTAGACCTGCTTTAGTCCTGCTTTAGACCTGCTTTAGTCCTGCTTTAGACCTGCTTTAGTCCTGCTTTAGTCCTGCTTTAGTCCTGCTTTAGTCCTGGTTTAGTCCTGCTTTAGACTTGCTTTAGTCCTGCTTTAGACCTGCTTTAGTCCTGCTTTAGACCTGCTTTAGTCCTGCTTTAGTCCTGCTTTAGTCCTGGTTTAGTCCTGCTTTAGACTTGCTTTAGTCCTGCTTTAGACCTGCTTTAGACCTGCTTTAGACCTGCTTTAGTCCTGCTTTAGACCTGCTTTAGACCTGCTTTAGTCCTGCTTTAGTCCTGCTTTAGACCTGGTTTAGACCTGCTTTAGTCCTGCTTTAGACCTGCATTAGTCCTGGTTTAGTACTGGTTTAGTCCTGCTTTAGACCTGCTTTAGTCCTGCTTTAGACCTGCTTTAGTCCTGCTTTAGTCCTGCTTTAGTCCTGCTTTAGTCCTGGTTTAGTCCTGCTTTAGACTTGCTTTAGTCCTGCTTTAGACCTGCTTTAGACCTGCTTTAGTCCTGCTTTAGACCTGCTTTAGACCTGCTTTAGTCCTGCTTTAGTCCTGCTTTAGACCTGCTTTAGTCCTGCTTTAGACCTGCTTTAGTCCTGCTTTAGACCTGCTTTAGTCCTGCTTTAGTCCTGCTTTAGTCCTGCTTTAGACCTGCTTTAGTCCTGGTATAGCTCTTCCCAGACTGAGTCCTGTGACAGTAAGAGCCCTGCCCTTGTGTCCTTGAGCCTGACGTCAGAGCAGAAAATTCCGGAAATTTCTGTTTGTTACAGTTTTGTCTTTTTCAAAAGTATCAGAAATATTTTAGAAGTCGCTCAAAAACTTCTCATGTTTTTCACTGAAGAAAATGGACGACTACTGTACTATACTGTACTGTACTGTACTATACTGTACTGTCCTGTACTGTACTGCACTGTACTGTACTATACTGTACTGTACTGTACTGTACTGCACTGTACTTTACTGTACTATTAGTTTATCACCACCGTGTATGGAGTGAATGAATAATGACACATGTGAAGCGTCTTTGAGTGTCCAGAAAAGCGCTATATAAAACCCATGCATTATTATTATTATTATTACTATACTGTACTGTACTGTACTCTGCTATCCTGTACTGTACTATACTGTACTGTACTATACCGTACTGTACTGTACTGTACTATACTGTACTGTACTGTACTCTGCTATCCTGTACTGTACTATACTGTACTGTACTATACTGTACTGTACTGTACTGTACTATACTGTACTGTACTGTACTGTACTATACTGTACTGTACTGTACTCTGCTATCCTGTACTGTACTGTACTGTACTGTACTGTACTGTACTGTACTATACTGTACTGTACTGTACTCTGCTATCCTGTACTGTACTATACTGTACTGTACTATACTGTACTGTACTGTACTGTACTATACTGTACTGTACTGTACTCTGCTATCCTGTACTGTACTGTACTGCACTGTACTGTACTGTACTATACTCTACTATACTGTACTGTACTGTACTGTACTGTACTATACTGTACTGTACTGTACTGTACTGTACTGTACTGTACTGCACTGCACTGTACTGTACTGTACTGTACTGTACTGTACTGTACTGTACTGTGCTGGTAAATGCAAAAGTAAAAGCTCCTCAGATCTTGATTGTCGTTAAAACAGTGATACAAAGTATCATCGCACCTTCACTTATATCTTTACTTCATCTTCTGCCAGTGGTGTACTTCCTAATCTCATGAATATATCTGTACTTCATCTTCTGCCAGTGGTGTACTTCCTAATCTCATGAATATATCTGTACTTCATCTTCTGCCAGTGGTGTACTTCCTAATCTCATGAATATATCTGTACTTCATCTTCTGCCAGTGGTGTACTTCCTAATCTCATGAATATATCTGTACTTCATCTTCTGCCAGTGGTGTACTTCCTAATCTCATGAATATATCTGTACTTCCTCTTCTGCCAGTGGTGTACTTCCTAATCTCATGAATATATCTGTACTTCATCTTCTGCCAGTGGTGTACTTCCTAATCTCATGAATATATCTGTACTTCATCTTCTGCCAGTGGTGTACTTCCTAATCTCATGAATATATCTGTACTTCATCTTCTGCCAGTGGTGTACTTCCTAATCTCATGAATATATCTGTACTTCCTCTTCTGCCAGTGGTGTACTTCCTAATCTCATGAATATATCTGTACTTCATCTTCTGCCAGTGGTGTACTTCCTAATCTCATGAATATATCTGTACTTCATCTTCTGCCAGTGGTGTACTTCCTAATCTCATGAATATATCTGTACTTCATCTTCTGCCAGTGGTGTACTTCCTAATCTCATGAATATATCTGTACTTCATCTTCTGCCAGTGGTGTACTTCCTAATCTCATGAATATATCTGTACTTCATCTTCTGCCAGTGGTGTACTTCCTAATCTCATGAATATATCGGTACTTCATCTTCTGCCAGTGGTGTACTTCCTAATCTCATGAATATATCTGTACTTCATCTTCTGCCAGTGGTGTACTTCCTAATCTCATGAATATATCTGTACTTCCTCTTCTGCCAGTGGTGTACTTCCTAATCTCATGAATATATCTGTACTTCATCTTCTGCCAGTGGTGTACTTCCTAATCTCATGAATATATCTGTACTTCATCTTCTGCCAGTGGTGTACTTCCTAATCTCATGAATATATCTGTACTTCATCTTCTGCCAGTGGTGTACTTCCTAATCTCATGAATATATCTGTACTTCATCTTCTGCCAGTGGTTTACTTCCTAATCTCATGAATATATCTGTACTTCCTCTTCTGCCAATGGTGTACTTCCTAATCTCATGAATATATCTGTACTTCCTCTTCTGCCAGTGGTGTACTTCCTAATCTCATGAATATATCTGTACTTCATCTTCTGCCAGTGGTGTACTTCCTAATCTCATGAATATATCTGTACTTCCTCTTCTGCCAGTGGTGTACTTCCTAATCTCATGAATATATCTGTACTTCATCTTCTGCCAGTGGTGTACTTCCTAATCTCATGAATATATCTGTACTTCATCTTCTGCCAGTGGTGTACTTCCTAATCTCATGAATATATCTGTACTTCATCTTCTGCCAGTGGTGTACTTCCTAATCTCATGAATATATCTGTACTTCATCTTCTGCCAGTGGTGTACTTCCTAATCTCATGAATATATCTGTACTTCATCTTCTGCCAGTGGTGTATTTCCTAATCTCATTTCAGATTTATGCAGCTGGAGTCTGGAACGGTCTTCCTGAGGATGTGAGACTGGCTGCCTCTCTGTCAATGTTCAAATCCATGTTAAAGACTTTTCTTTTTTCCCGTGCATACAACTAGAGAATTTTATCTTTTTAACACACCTTGTTATTTATTGTTGTAACTTTTTGTGTTTTTAACTATTTTATTGTTTTTAATTACTTGTGTGATTTTTATGTTTTTAAATTACTTATGTGATTTTAATGCTTTTTAATTACATATGTGTTTTTAATTGTATTTTAATGGTGATGATTTGTGCATTGTGTGGTGTGGACTGTGAGGCGCTTTGTGTTGCCCTGTGCAGGAAAAGCGCCCTATAAATAAAGATTGATTGATTGATGAATATATCTGTACTTCATCTTCTGCCAGTGGTGTACTTCCTAATCTCATGAATATATCTGTACTTCATCTTCTGCCAGTGGTGTACTTCCTAATCTCATGAATATATCTGTACTTCATCTTCTGCCAGTGGTGTACTTCCTAATCTCATGAATATATCTGTACTTCATCTTCTGCCAGTGGTGTACTTCCTAATCTCATGAATATATCTGTACTTCATCTTCTGCCAGTGGTTTACTTCCTAATCTCATGAATATATCTGTACTTCCTCTTCTGCCAATGGTGTACTTCCTAATCTCATGAATATATCTGTACTTCCTCTTCTGCCAGTGGTGTACTTCCTAATCTCATGAATATATCTGTACTTCATCTTCTGCCAGTGGTGTACTTCCTAATCTCATGAATATATCTGTACTTCATCTTCTGCCAGTGGTGTACTTCCTAATCTCATGAATATATCTGTACTTCATCTTCTGCCAGTGGTGTATTTCCTAATCTCATGAATATATCTGTACTTCATCTTCTGCCAGTGGTGTACTTCCTAATCTCATGAATATATCTGTACTTCATCTTCTGCCAGTGGTGTACTTCCTAATCTCATGAATATATCTGTACTTCATCTTCTGCCAGTGGTGTACTTCCTAATCTCATGAATATATCTGTACTTCATCTTCTGCCAGTGGTGTACTTCCTAATCTCATGAATATATCTGTACTTCATCTTCTGCCAGTGGTGTACTTCCTAATCTCATGAATATATCTGTACTTCATCTTCTGCCAGTGGTGTACTTCCTAATCTCATGAATATATCTGTACTTCATCTTCTGCCAGTGGTGTATTTCCTAATCTCATGAATATATCTGTACTTCATCTTCTGCCAGTGGTGTACTTCCTAATCTCATGAATATATCTGTACTTCATCTTCTGCCAGTGGTGTACTTCCTAATCTCATGAATATATCTGTACTTCATCTTCTGCCAGTGGTGTACTTCCTAATCTCATGAATATATCTGTACTTCATCTTCTGCCAGTGGTGTACTTCCTAATCTCATGAATATATCTGTACTTCATCTTCTGCCAGTGGTGTACTTCCTAATCTCATGAATATATCTGTACTTCATCTTCTGCCAGTGGTTTACTTCCTAATCTCATGAATATATCTGTACTTCCTCTTCTGCCAATGGTGTACTTCCTAATCTCATGAATATATCTGTACTTCCTCTTCTGCCAGTGGTGTACTTCCTAATCTCATGAATATATCTGTACTTCATCTTCTGCCAGTGGTGTACTTCCTAATCTCATGAATATATCTGTACTTCATCTTCTGCCAGTGGTGTATTCCTAATCTCATGAATATATCTGTACTTCATCTTCTGCCAGTGGTGTACTTCCTAATCTCATGAATATATCTGTACTTCATCTTCTGCCAGTGGTGTACTTCCTAATCTCATGAATATATCTGTACTTCATCTTCTGCCAGTGGTGTACTTCCTAATCTCATGAATATATCTGTACTTCATCTTCTGCCAGTGGTGTACTTCCTAATCTCATGAATATATCTGTACTTCATCTTCTGCCAGTGGTGTACTTCCTAATCTCATGAATATATCTGTACTTCATCTTCTGCCAGTGGTGTACTTCCTAATCTCATGAATATATCTGTACTTCATCTTCTGCCAGTGGTGTACTTCCTAATCTCATGAATATATCTGTACTTCATCTTCTGCCAGTGGTGTACTTCCTAATCTCATGAATATATCTGTACTCATCTTCTGCCAGTGGTTACTTCATCTCATGATATATCTGTACTTCATCTTGCCAGTGTTACTTCCTAATCTCATGAATATATCTGTACTTCATCTTCTGCCAGTGGTGTACTTCCTAATCTCATGAATATATCTGTACTTCATCTTCTGCCAGTGGTGTACTTCCTAATCTCATGAATATATCTGTACTTCATCTTCTGCCAGTGGTGTACTTCCTAATCTCATGAATATATCTGTACTTCATCTTCTGCCAGTGGTGTACTTCCTATCTCATGAATATATCTGTACTCACTTTGCTGTGTCTAATCTCATGAATATATCGGTACTTCCTCTTCTGCCAGTGGTGTACTTCCTAATCTCATGAATATATCTGTACTTCATCTTCTGCCAGTGGTGTACTTCCTAATCTCATGAATATATCTGTACTTCATCTTCTGCCAGTGGTGTACTTCCTAATCTCATGAATATATCTGTACTTCATCTTCTGCCAGTGGTGTACTTCCTAATCTCATGAATATATCTGTACTTCATCTTCTGCCAGTGGTGTACTTCCTAATCTCATGAATATATCTGTACTTCATCTTCTGCCAGTGGTGTACTTCCTAATCTCATGAATATATCTGTACTTCATCTTCTGCCAGTGGTGTACTTCCTAATCTCATGAATATATCTGTACTTCATCTTCTGCCAGTGGTGTACTTCCTAATCTCATGAATATATCTGTACTTCATCTTCTGCCAGTGGTGTACTTCCTAATCTCATGAATATATCTGTACTTCATCTTCTGCCAGTGGTGTACTTCCTAATCTCATGAATATATCTGTACTTCATCTTCTGCCAGTGGTGTACTTCCTAATCTCATGAATATATCTGTACTTCATCTTCTGCCAGTGGTGTACTTCCTAATCTCATGAATATATCTGTACTTCATCTTCTGCCAGTGGTGTATTTCCTAATCTCATGAATATATCTGTACTTCATCTTCTGCCAGTGGTGTACTTCCTAATCTCATGAATATATCTGTACTTCATCTTCTGCCAGTGGTGTACTTCCTAATCTCATGAATATATCTGTACTTCATCTTCTGCCAGTGGTGTATTTCCTAATCTCATTTCAGATTTATGCAGCTGGAGTCTGGAACGGTCTTCCTGAGGATGTGAGACTGGCTGCCTCTCTGTCAATGTTCAAATCCATGTTAAAGACTTTTCTTTTTTCCCGTGCATACAACTAGAGAATTTTATCTTTTTAACACACCTTGTTATTTATTGTTGTAACTTTTTGTGTTTTTAACTATTTTATTGTTTTTAATTACTTGTGTGATTTTTATGTTTTTAAATTACTTATGTGATTTTAATGCTTTTTAATTACATATGTGTTTTTAATTGTATTTTAATGGTGATGATTTGTGCATTGTGTGGTGTGGACTGTGAGGCGCTTTGTGTTGCCCTGTGCAGGAAAAGCGCCCTATAAATAAAGATTGATTGATTGATTGATGAATATATCTGTACTTCATCTTCTGCCAGTGGTGTACTTCCTAATCTCATGAATATATCTGTACTTCATCTTCTGCCAGTGGTGTATTTCCTAATCTCATGAATATATCTGTACTTCATCTTCTGCCAGTGGTGTACTTCCTAATCTCATGAATATATCTGTACTTCATCTTCTGCCAGTGGTGTACTTCCTAATCTCATGAATATATCTGTACTTCATCTTCTGCCAGTGGTGTACTTCCTAATCTCATGAATATATCTGTACTTCATCTTCTGCCAGTGGTGTACTTCCTAATCTCATGAATATATCTGTACTTCATCTTCTGCCAGTGGTGTACTTCCTAATCTCATGAATATATCTGTACTTCATCTTCTGCCAGTGGTTTACTTCCTAATCTCATGAATATATCTGTACTTCCTCTTCTGCCAATGGTGTACTTCCTAATCTCATGAATATATCTGTACTTCCTCTTCTGCCAGTGGTGTACTTCCTAATCTCATGAATATATCTGTACTTCATCTTCTGCCAGTGGTGTACTTCCTAATCTCATGAATATATCTGTACTTCATCTTCTGCCAGTGGTGTACTTCCTAATCTCATGAATATATCTGTACTTCATCTTCTGCCAGTGGTGTATTTCCTAATCTCATGAATATATCTGTACTTCATCTTCTGCCAGTGGTGTACTTCCTAATCTCATGAATATATCTGTACTTCATCTTCTGCCAGTGGTGTACTTCCTAATCTCATGAATATATCTGTACTTCATCTTCTGCCAGTGGTGTACTTCCTAATCTCATGAATATATCTGTACTTCATCTTCTGCCAGTGGTGTACTTCCTAATCTCATGAATATATCTGTACTTCATCTTCTGCCAGTGGTGTACTTCCTAATCTCATGAATATATCTGTACTTCATCTTCTGCCAGTGGTGTACTTCCTAATCTCATGAATATATCTGTACTTCATCTTCTGCCAGTGGTGTATTTCCTAATCTCATGAATATATCTGTACTTCATCTTCTGCCAGTGGTGTACTTCCTAATCTCATGAATATATCTGTACTTCATCTTCTGCCAGTGGTTTACTTCCTAATCTCATGAATATATCTGTACTTCATCTTCTGCCAGTGGTGTACTTCCTAATCTCATGAATATATCTGTACTTCATCTTCTGCCAGTGGTGTACTTACTTAGAGCCAAAATGGCTTTAGAAAGACTTCCCTGGCTCTGATGGACCTCAGAGAACAGATAACCAACATAATGAAAACCAGATACACACCATGGGGGTGTTCATGGTCCTTCAGAAAGCCTTTGATACAACAGACCACAACATTTCACTGAAGGAAATAGAAAAGAGTGAGATAAGTCCTCCTTAAATAAGTCCTCCTTAACAAACAGATGTTTGAGATGATGGGAGGACACATGTGGGGTGCCACAGGGATCGGTGCTGGGGCCAAAACTGTTTTTATTTTATAAAAATGATCTGTGTGATGTGTCAAAAAAACTCCATTATTTGCTGATGACACGACAATATTGGCTTCATGAAATAACCCACACCAACTTATAAACGAGTTAACAAATGACTTAGACAAACTCACAAAATGGTTTGATAGAAACAGTCACTAAATATATTAAAAACAAAAACTATTCACTTTGGGAAACATGTCGGAGTTGAACACTCAAATCAAACAGATGATGAAGAAATAGAAATGATGAAGGTCACAATATGAGCTGAAACCATAAATATCTAACGTCGCTGTAAAACATGGAGTCATGAGTAGATGCAGATATTTACTTTAGTCCTCCCCAGAGACTGTGCTGAGGTTTGGGGAAGCACCTGCAGGAGTCATCTGGAACTGTTGTTAGGATCATTCACAAAGTTAAATCCTTTATTCTTAACATCTCGTGTCCTTAAACTGAAATCATAACGTTAAAAACTCTGATGGTCGTCTTTAAGGCAAAACATAACAAACTCCCAGAGCAGATGCAGAACATGTTTTCTGATGGAGCGGTGGAGAGGGGCCTTTAATCTTACAGTAGAGCCCACTCGCAGCTCCCTCAGAGTCTCTGCATCACACTCACAGCTCCCTCAGAGTCTCTCTGCATCACACTCGCAGCTCCCTCAGAGTCTCTGCATCACACTCGCAGCTCCCTCAGAGTCTCTGCATCACACTCGCAGCTCCCTCAGAGTCTCTGCATCACACTCGCAGCTCCCTCAGAGTCTCTGCATCACACTCGCAGCTCCCTCAGAGTCTCTGCATCACACTCGCAGCTCCCTCAGAGTCTCTGCATCACACTCGCAGCTCCCTCAGAGTCTCTGCATCACACTCGCAGCTCCCTCAGAGTCTCTGCATCACACTCACAGCTCCCTCAGAGTCTCTGCATCACACTCGCAGCTCCCTCAGAGTCTCTGCATCACACTCGCAGCTCCCTCAGAGTCTCTGCATCACACTCGCAGCTCCCTCAGAGTCTCTGCATCACACTCACAGCTCCCTCAGAGTCTCTGCATCACACTGGCAGCTCCCTTAGAGTCTCTGCATCACACTCGCAGCTCCCTCAGAGTCTCTGCATCACACTCGCAGCTCCCTTAGAGTCTCTGCATCACACTCGCAGCCCCCTTAGAGTCTCTGCATCACACTCGCAGCTCCCTCAGAGTCTCTGCATCACACTCGCAGCCCCCTTAGAGTCTCTGCATCACACTCGCAGCTCCCTCAGAGTCTCTGCATCACACTCGCAGCTCCCTCAGAGTCTCTGCATCACACTCACAGCTCCCTCAGAGTCTCTGCATCACACTCGCAGCTCCCTCAGAGTCTCGGCATCACACTCGCAGCTCCCTTAGAGTCTCGGCATCACACTCACAGCTCCCTCAGAGTCTCTGCATCACACTCGCAGCTCCCTCAGAGTCTCTGCATCACACTCGCAGCTCCCTCAGAGTCTCTGCATCACACTCACAGCTCCCTCAGAGTCTCTGCATCACACTCGCAGCTCCCTCAGAGTCTCTGCATCACACTCGCAGCTCCCTCAGAGTCTCTGCATCACACTCGCAGCTCCCTCAGAGTCTCTGCATCACACTCGCAGCTCCCTCAGAGTCTCTGCATCACACTCACAGCTCCCTCAGAGTCTCTGCATCACACTCGCAGCTCCCTCAGAGTCTCTGCATCACACTCGCAGCTCCCTTAGAGTCTCTGCATCACACTCGCAGCCCCCTTAGAGTCTCTGCATCACACTCGCAGCTCCCTCAGAGTCTCTGCATCACACTCGCAGCCCCCTTAGAGTCTCTGCATCACACTCGCAGCTCCCTCAGAGTCTCTGCATCACACTCGCAGCCCCCTTAGAGTCTCTGCATCACACTCGCAGCTCCCTCAGAGTCTCTGCATCACACTCGCAGCTCCCTCAGAGTCTCGGCATCACACTCGCAGCTCCCTTAGAGTCTCGGCATCACACTCACAGCTCCCTCAGAGTCTCTGCATCACACTCGCAGCTCCCTCAGAGTCTCGGCATCACACTCGCAGCTCCCTTAGAGTCTCGGCATCACACTCACAGCTCCCTCAGAGTCTCTGCATCACACTCGCAGCTCCCTCAGAGTCTCTGCATCACACTCGCAGCTCCCTCAGAGTCTCTGCATCACACTCGCAGCTCCCTCAGAGTCTCTGCATCACACTCGCAGCTCCCTCAGAGTCTCTGCATCACACTCGCAGCTCCCTCAGAGTCTCTGCATCACACTCGCAGCTCCCTCAGAGTCTCTGCATCACACTCGCAGCTCCCTCAGAGTCTCTGCATCACACTCACAGCTCCCTCAGAGTCTCTGCATCACACTCGCAGCTCCCTTAGAGTCTCTGCATCACACTCGCAGCTCCCTCAGAGTCTCTGCATCACACTCGCAGCTCCCTTAGAGTCTCTGCATCACACTCGCAGCTCCCTCAGAGTCTCTGCATCACACTCGCAGCTCCCTCAGAGTCTCTGCATCACACTCGCAGCTCCCTTAGAGTCTCTGCATCACACTCGCAGCTCCCTCAGAGTCTCTGCATCACACTCACAGCTCCCTCAGAGTCTCTGCATCACACTCGCAGCTCCCTCAGAGTCTCTGCATCACACTCGCAGCTCCCTCAGAGTCTCGGCATCACACTCGCAGCTCCCTCAGAGTCTCTGCATCACACTCGCAGCTCCCTCAGAGTCTCTGCATCACACTCGCAGCTCCCTCAGAGTCTCTGCATCACACTCGCAGCTCCCTCAGAGTCTCTGCATCACACTCGCAGCTCCCTCAGAGTCTCTGCATCACACTCGCAGCTCCCTCAGAGTCTCTGCATCACACTCGCAGCTCCCTCAGAGTCTCTGCATCACACTCGCAGCTCCCTCAGAGTCTCTGCATCACACTCGCAGCTCCCTCAGAGTCTCTGCATCACACTCGCAGCTCCCTCAGAGTCTCTGCATCACACTTGCAGCTCCCTTAGAGTCTCGGCATCACACTCGCAGCTCCCTTAGAGTCTCTGCATCACACTCGCAGCTCCCTTAGAGTCTCTGCATCACACTCGCAGCTCCCTCAGAGTCTCTGCATCACACGGAGACGCCGCCGGAAGAATCTGGATCAAATCCTCAAACGCACGACAAGCCTCACTGCTCAAGAAACATTATTTTATTACAGAAATATGAACAAATTAAGATTCAACTTCATCTTCTGCTGTGTGTGGTTTGTCCATTAACAACACATTAACTACACATTAACTACACATTAACAACACATTAACTACACATTAACTACACATTAACTACACATTAACTACACATTAACAACACATTAACTACACATTAACTACACATTAACTACACATTAACTACACATTAACATGTGCTTGTATATGTATGTATGTATGTATGTGTGTGTGTATGTGTGTGTATGTGTGTGTATGTGTGTTTCAATTATATTGAAATGGAAGGAGTATCAGACCACTGCAAATCTACCAAGACCCGGCCGTCCCTCCAAACTTTCATCTCAAACAAGGAGAAGACTGATCAGAGATGCAGCCAAGAGGTGGGAGAGTCTGTCCATAGGACAACAATCAGTCGTGCACTGCACAAATCTGGCCTTTATGGAAGAGTGGCAAGAAGAAAGCCATTTCTCAAAGATATCCATAAAAAGTCTGGTTTAAAGTTTGCCACAAGCCACCTGGGAGACACACCAAACATGTGGAAGAAGGTGCTCTGGTCAGAGGAAACCAAAATCAAACTTTTTGGCCACAATGCAAAACGATATGTTTGGCGTAAAAGCAACACAGCTCATCAGCCTGAACACACCATCCCCACTGTCAAACATGGTGGTGGCAGCATCATGCTTTGGGCCTGCTTTTCTTCAGCAGGGACAGGGAAGATGGCTAAAATTGATGGGAAGATGGATGGAGCCAAATACAGGACCATTCTGGAAGAAAACCTGTTGGAGTCTGCAAAAGACCTGAGACTGGGACGGAGATTTATCTTCCAACAGGACAATGATCCAAAACATAAAGCCAAATCTACAATGGAATGGTTCACAAATAGACGTATCCAGGTGTTAGAATGGCCAAGTCAAAGTCCAGACCTGAATCCAATCGAGAATCTGTGGAAAGAGCTGAAGACTGCTGTTCACAAACGCTCTCCATCCAACCTCACTGAGCTCCAGCTGTTTTGCAAGGAAGAATGGGAAAGAATTCCAGTCTCTCGATGTGCAAAACTGATAGACATACCCCAAGCGACTTGCAGCTGTAATTGCAGCAAAAGGTGGCGCTATAAAGTATTAGCGCAAGGGGCCGAATAATATTGCACGCCCCACTTTTCAGTTTTTTATTTGTTAAAAAAGTTTAAATTATCCAATAAATTTTGTTCCACTTCACGATTGTGTCCCACTTGTTGTTGATTCTTGACAAAAACATTTTTTTTTATATCTTTATGTTTGAAGCCTGAAATGTGGCGAAATGTTGAAAGGTTCAAGGGGGCCGAATACTGTATGTGTGTGTATGTGCTTGTATATATTGTATGTGGGGTCGGTGCTCATAAGTTCTTTGAACTTCAACCTACTCCTTTTGAGAAAATATGTCAGAAATATCTGTACTTTACTTTACTACACTAATATTATACTATTGACTGTTATAGACACATGTGTGTGTCATGTGACTGTTATAGACACACGTGTGTGTCATGTGACTGTTATAGACACATGTGTGTGTCATGTGACTGTTATAGACACATGTGTCATGTGTCCAGTTCTTTAATGTTGTTGTGGTTGTTGATAATAATCAGCTAAAATGGTTTTAAAGCTGTTGTGAGAGAGCACGCACCACAGTTTGAGAACCTCTGGTGGGATCAGAGCAGGACAGAGGGTTTCCCAGACTCAGAATGTGACAAATTAAACAGTTGCAGATTGATTTCTCATAAATCGCGACACAAGCCCCGCCCCTGTGGAAATAAGCCCCACCTCTCTGTGGGAAAATCCCTGTCCCTGTGTTGAAAAGCCCCGCCCGTGTCTGGATAAGCTCCGCCCCTGTGTGGTAATAGTGGTGTGGAGCGGCCTATCTGGGACTCGCAGCTTCAGACACGGTGAGACTTTAACTTCAACTTTAGGTTCGGACTATGGATTGTGTGTGTGTGTGTGTGTGTCCAGGGACTAGTGTGTGGTCTCTCTCTGGTCTCTCTCCGGTCTCTCTCTCTGGTCCCTCTCTGGTCTCTCTCTGGTCTCTCTCTCTGGTCTCTCTCCGGTCTCTCTCCGGTCTCTGATCTCTCTCTGGTCTCTCTCTGGTCTCTCTCTGGTCTCTCTCTGGTCCCTTTCTGGTCCCTCTCTGGTCCCTCTCTGGTCTCTCTCTGGTCTCTCTCTCTGGTCCCTCTCTGGTCCCTTTCTGGTCCCTCTCTAGTCCCTCTCTGATCTCTCTCTGGTCTCTCTCTCTGGTCCCTCTCTGGTCTCTCTCTGGTCTCTCTCTAGTCTCTCTCTGGTCTCTCTCTCTGGTCCCTCTCTGGTCCGTCTCTGGTCTCTCTCTGGTCTCTCTCTCTGGTCTCTCTGATCTCTCTCTGGTCTCTTGCTGGTCTCTCTGGTCTCTCTCTGGTCCCTCTCTGGTCCCTCCCTGGTCTCTCTCTGGTCCCTCTCTGGTCTCTCTCTGGTCTCTCTCTGGTCTCTCTCTGGTCTCTCTCTGGTCTCTCTCTAGTCTCTCTCTGGTCTCTCTCTCTGGTCCCTCTCTGGTCCCTCTCTGGTCTCTCTCTCTGGTCCCTCTCTGGTCCCTCTCTGGTCTCTCTCTCTGGTCTCTCTGGTCTCTCTCTGGTCTCTCTCTGGTCTCTTGTTGGTCTCTCTGGTCCCTCTCTGGTCTCTCTCTGGTCTCTCTCTCTGGTCCCTCTCTGGTCTCTCTCTGGTCTCTCTCTCTGGTCTCTCTCTGGTCTCTCTCTAGTCTCTCTCTGGTCTCTCTCTCTGGTCCCTCTCTGGTCCGTCTCTGGTCTCTCTCTGGTCTCTCTCTCTGGTCTCTCTGATCTCTCTCTGGTCTCTTGCTGGTCTCTCTGGTCCCGCTCTGGTCTCTCTCTGGTCCCTCTCTGGTCCCTCCCTGGTCTCTCTCTGGTCTCTCTCTGGTCTCTCTCTGGTCTCTCTCTGGTCTCTCTCTGGTCTCTCTCTAGTCTCTCTCTGGTCTCTCTCTCTGGTCCCTCTCTGGTCCCTCTCTGGTCTCTCTCTCTCTGGTCCCTCTCTGGTCTCTCTCTGGTCTCTCTCTCCGGTCTCTCTCCGGTCTCTCTCCGGTCTCTGATCTCTCTCTGGTCTCTCTCTGGTCTCTCTCTGGTCCCTTTCTGGTCCCTCTCTGGTCCCTCTCTGGTCTCTCTCTGGTCTCTCTCTCTGGTCCCTCTCTGGTCCCTTTCTGGTCCCTCTCTGGTCCCTCTCTGGTCTCTCTCTGGTCTCTCTCTCTGGTCCCTCTCTGGTCTCTCTCTGGTCTCTCTCTAGTCTCTCTCTGGTCTCTCTCTCTGGTCCCTCTCTGGTCCGTCTCTGGTCTCTCTCTGGTCTCTCTCTCTGGTCTCTCTGATCTCTCTCTGGTCTCTTGTTGGTCTCTCTGGTCCCTCTCTGGTCTCTTGCTGGTCTCTCTGGTCTCTCTCTGGTCCCTCTCTGGTCCCTCCCTGGTCTCTCTCTGGTCCCTCTCTGGTCTCTCTCTGGTCTCTCTCTGGTCTCTCTCTGGTCTCTCTCTGGTCTCTCTCTAGTCTCTCTCTGGTCTCTCTCTCTGGTCCCTCTCTGGTCCCTCTCTGGTCTCTCTCTCTGGTCCCTCTCTGGTCCCTCTCTGGTCTCTCTCTGGTCTCTCTCTCTGGTCCCTCTCTGGTCTCTCTCTGGTCTCTCTCTCTGGTCTCTCTGGTCTCTCTGGTCTCTCTCTGGTCTCTCTCTGGTCTCTCTGGTCCCTCTCTGGTCCCTCTCTGGTCTCTCTCTCTGGTCCCTCTCTGGTCTCTCTCTGGTCTCTCTCTGGTCTCTCTCTAGTCTCTCTCTGGTCTCTCTCTCTGGTCCCTCTCTGGTCCGTCTCTGGTCTCTCTCTGGTCTCTCTCTCTGGTCTCTCTGATCTCTCTCTGGTCTCTTGTTGGTCTCTCTGGTCCCTCTCTGGTCTCTTGCTGGTCTCTCTGGTCCCGCTCTGGTCTCTCTCTGGTCCCTCTCTGGTCTCTCTCTGGTCTCTCTCTGGTCTCTCGCTGGTCTCTGTGGTCTCTCTCTGGTCTCTCTCTGGTCCCTCTCTGGTCTCTCTCTCTGGTCCCTCTCTGGTCTCTCTCTGGTCCCTCTCTGGTCTCTCTCTCTGGTCCCTCTCTGGTCCCTCTCTGGTCTCCCTCTCTGGTCTCTCTGGTCTCTCTCTGGTCTCTTGTTGGTCTCTCTGGACCCTCTCTGGTCTCTTGCTGGTCTCTCTGGTCCCTCTCTGGTCTCTCTCTCTGGTCTCTCTGGTCTCTTGTTGGACCCTCTCTGGTCTCTTGCTGGTCTCTCTGGTCCCTCTCTGGTCTCTCTCTCTGGTCTCTCTGGTCTCTTGTTGGTCTCTCTAGTCCCTCTCTGGTCTGTCTCTCTGGTCCCTCTCTGGTCTCTCTCTGGTCTCTGGTCTCTCTCTCTGGTCCCTCTCTGGTCTCTCGCTGGTCTCTGTGGTCTCTCTCTGGTCCCTCTCTGGTCTCTCTCTCTGGTCCCTCTCTGGTCTTTCTCTGGTCTCTCTCTGGTCCCTCTCTGGTCTCTCTCTGGTCCCTCTCTGGTCTCTCTCTGGTCCCTCTCTGGTCTCTCTCTGGTCCCTCTCTGGTCTTTCTCTGGTCTTTCTCTGGTCTCTCTCTGGTCCCTCTCTGGTCTCTCTCTGGTCCCTCTCTGGTCTCTCTCTGGTCCCTCTCTGGTCTTTCTCTGGTCTCTCTCTGGTCCCTCTCTGGTCTCTCTCTGGTCCCTCTCTGGTAATCTTGTTCTTGTGTGTCTTTCAGGTCTGATCCAATATGTCTGCTCTCTGTCTGTGTGTGATATTCCTGTCTGCTGCGGGCTTCGCTTCAGGTAAAGCTCTCATCCAATCAGAGACCAGTCTGAGG